CCCCAAAACCCCAAAACCCCAAAACCCCGGCACTTCGAATTCCAATTGAATTCATCACTCCCCTTAATCTGAGAGAGGATCTGGGCATGAATTATCAATGACCTGGCCGATGGTCAGTCCCAACTCAGGCAGCATCGCCTTGACTTCGGAGCCACTTAGTCTAAACATTACCTACTGTTCTTACCCGCATTGGTAAACATTTAGAGTCTGAATGGAGTCTTTGAGGGCTGACTCAGAGACTGCCTTCAGGATGTTCTTCAGCTTGGATGGACTAGCCTTCCAGTCGTTTCTACTGCTTTTGCCACTCCTCTCGAAAGACAGGTACTGGATGCTGGAGGAAGGGCAGTCGAAGGCGACCGGAGAGGAAGTGTCGAATTTGGATTCACTAATGGTCAGCCTCTCTGCCTTGGTGTTGCTCACGATGAACTAAATGGGGAGGTGGTTGAGAGAAGAGAAGGAACAGAAAGTAGTTCTAGAGTCTAAAGAGGCAGTTCGTTGTAAATGTGGCTCACAGACTTACTTCAAACTCTTGCTTTGAAATTTCAAAATCATACAGGACTACTTCTCTCGTGACTCATGGGATCACCCTTTTCAGGCCTTCGAAGTAGTAATCTAACTTCGTTTGGGAGCATGACCCATCATAGTACCAATTATAGCAAAACAGTTGTGCCTGTTCAGGGAAACAGTGAAGGTAGAAGTCTCTGACAGTCGGGTCTTCCTTCTTGTTCTGGTCAATTGCAATCCTCTTGATGTTTGGCAGTCTGACCTTCATGTCCACTACCTCCTTCAGGAAGTTCTGGGCATTAGAATCTGCCATCTTCAACTCAATCTTAGTTTTCAGGTCGAACGCCTTCTCCTCGCCGAAGCATTTCTTCCAGAGTTGTTGGCAGATGAAAGAATTCATCTTCGAATAGGTTTCCTGGAGCTGTTCGTGTTCTGCCATCTGGGTTTTGAACTCTAGAATAGGATGAGAATGAATGGGAGAATTGGGATAGATTGGAAGCAAGGCATGGAGGTATAGTATTTGGGATTATCTGTAAATAAATTCAGAGCGTAGATTTTATTTTTGTTAAATAAATCATGGAAATTTTAGCAAAAAGAAGATTCTTACCTTCTTCAATTCTGTCTTTTGTTTCGTTGAGTTGCTCTATTTGTGTTTTGCCATCTTCAATTTGAGTTTTCAGTTGTTCTATCTCCCTAAGATGGTCAGAGATTGAGCTCTTCTGTTCTTCACTCTATGAAACAAGTTACTCCATTTACACAAACAAATTAAAATATTGTAAGAATACTTACCTGTTGCTGAATGTCTTGAATCTGGTTTTTGAGCTCTTCAATGTCTCTGGCTCTTGCAACTTCAGCCTCTTGCAAAATTTTCTCTTTGGCATCTACTGCCACGTTCTTTAGAGAAGCTTCATACTTCTTCCTCTTTAAAACATGTTATTTTAATGGAGAGAGGACAAGGCTTCCAGGCTATCCAAATAGAACTTTAATGGACTTACCTCTTCCAATAATTGTTTGGAAACTCCTTTCTGCATGGCTGAGCTTGATGTCTGATCTTCAAGCTGTTTGGCAAACAAGTAGTCTTTGAATTTAGAATAGATGTCACTTTCCCTGAACTTCATGTAAAACCTAAAGATCTCCTTCAAAACAGAATCAAAATATAAAGGCTTTTTGTCAGATTTCTAGAAGAGAAATTTTCAAATAAGAATGAACACTCTCATGTGTAAATTCTCAAGGAAATGATCCAAGATACAAAGCTATTATGAATCTTAGCTGCTAATATAATATCTTTGTGTTGATAAATAACTGGAATAAATTTCCTTCTTAAAGAAGATCAAAAGGTTATAGTCATCAATAAAATCACCAGATCTCCAGATTCACTTACTCTTCAACTTGTTTCTTGAGATTCATGTACTCAAGAAACTGGTCTGTTTCGATCTTTTTCCTGATTTCGCCTTTGAGATTTTCGAATTCTTCCATCAGACTAGCCAGGGCTCCTCCAAAGTTTTGGATCAGGTACTCCAGACTGTCGTAGGTCTCTTTGTACTGGAACAGCTGATGAAGACTGTTGCTCACAGGCACTAGAGCATTCTTGAGCTCTTGGGCTGAGATGAATTGCTCTGCTTTGCACTCAAAGTGGTAGTAAGTCTTGTGGAGACTGCAAAGAACCATATGATGGTTGGGACAGTAGACATCTCTGGGGGATGTGCAGTCCTCGTGCTGACAGATTCCTCTAAAAATATGAGAGTATCTTACCTTCTATGCTTTCTCTTTTCGCTCATTTTATTTAAATATTATTAAGCCAATAGTTATTCCCCTTTATGGGGTTTTGGGGTTTTGGGGTTTTGGGG